CATCCTTTTCCTCTCGCAAACCAGGGTTTGAAACCCTGCGATCTCGCAAAACCCTTCAACTTGGCTCTCGACAGCTCTCTCCCTCTCTTCTCCACGACCGCTTCACTTCCCGGTGCAAGGTGGCGAGATCTGTCAACCGAAGCCTCCTCGATGCCCTCCTCCTCCCCGACGACGAGCTCCGCCGCGCTCTCCCTCTCCCGGCGATGCGGCTGGCCGCCGCAACATGCATACACGAATCCCATCCCCTCTCCCTTCTCTGACCCCTGCTGGCCCCGGCCGACATAACCGATGGCCTCCCGTGGCTGTGCTGGCTGCCGATGGTGTGGCCGCATCGATGCGGCGATGGGAGGGTGCTGGGCAGCCCTTCTGGTGGTGGGAGGGACCATGCGGCGTGGCTTCGGGTGGGCGCTGAAGCTGCTCCAGCCAGCAGGGGGGTATGGAGGCGGCGGCGGGTGGTAGTAGAAGCCTCTCATGGGCAGTGCGGCCGCCGGCGCTCCAGATAAGGCATGCAAGGGGGGCATGGGGTGGTACACAGCGGGCTGGTACGGCACAAAGCCGTATGAGGGACGCGGATGCACACACGAGGAGCGCTGCATTCTCATCCTTTTCCTCTCGCAAACCAGGGTTTGAAACCCTGCGATCTCGCAAAACCCTTCAACTTGGCTCTCGACAGCTCTCTCCCTCTCTTCTCCACGACCGCTTCACTTCCCGGTGCAAGGTGGCGAGATCTGTCGACCGAAGTCCACTCATCATCGAACACACAGAACACACAGAGGTGTGAGCGGACCTCAGCCACTCCTATCATTGTCATGCGGCATGGTTTGTTTTGCCGTCAGGCAGTCCTGGCCTCGAGCTTCGAGAGCATCGCCGCTGCCGCCTTCGCTGACTGCAGTCAACAGCTGACGGCGGCATCGGCAGCGGCGCATGTGTGCAGGATGACATCGTGTGGCCGCGCGGCCGATGGGAATTGGCATATCGCGTCCCAAGACTGGGTTGACGACCAGTGAGCTGAAGCTGTTCGCCGACGAGACGCACTTCACGGCCGACCAGGTGCTGAGCATCTTTCACCACTTCCGGCAGCTCTCGGCCATCGGCGAGGACGATGGCGTCATCGACCTGGGGGAATTCTGCTGCGCCATCGGCATGGACGGCAGCAACGAGCTCTCACGACAGATCTTCCGGGTCTTCGACACGAATGGCGACGGCGTCCTCAACTTCCGCGAGTACCTCAACGGCCTCTCGGTGCTCGGCCTCGGCTCACTCGACGAGAAGGTCAAGCTGGCCTTCCGCATCTATGACATCGACGGGGATGGGCAGATCTCGCGGGAGGAGCTGGCGCAGCTCGTGGAGGCCTCCCTGCAGGGCCACGGCAGCACTCGGCGAGTCGTCAACAGCGCCTCGCTCATCGACGAGACGTTCCGGCAGGCCGACGTCAACCACAACGGGTTCATCGACTTCAGCGAGTTCCGGCAGCTGGCGGTGCGGCAGCCGGCCATGCTGGCGTCGCTGACCGTCGAACCTCAGCGGCTGGCCCACATCACGGGCGGCGGCGGCGAGGCGACGCGCGAGGTGACCGAGCTGAGGCTGGGGCGCTCGGACACAGGCATGGACACGCTGGGGCAGCAGGAGGAGATCACACCAATGGAATGAGGAGGCCCTGGATGAATGGATGGATGGATGGATGGCTTGAGGAGGGTGGGGCGGCTTGGCACTAGCTTAATCGCTGCCTTGGCTACTTGCTGCCGGCGGTTGATTGGATTGGGGTGGTCTGTGTAGATTTGTTTATTTGTACGTATCGGTTTTTCAGTCGACGGCGGACAGACGGACGGACTGAAATTGGGAGGGGGAGAGGGAGGGAGGGAGACGACACACATACTACTAGGCTGGCTGGTGTGGCGGATGGATCGCTGACTGACTGTGCAGTCTTTTTGTATCACTGACAGACTGACTGACTCGCTGTAGATGGATGAGCGACCACAACAGAGAAATGTGTGTCTGAGTGTCTGACTGAGTGGAGTAGGGGTGGGGCTGGTAGGCGATGTAGTCAGTCCATGTAAAGAACTAGGTGCTGCCTCTCCTACTTGGTCTTGTGCTCTCCCAGTTTACTTGGCCGGCTGTCGCCGACGAGGGAGAGGGATCTCAAACACACAGAGGCCGGCCAGCCTGTCGGGCTGTCTGTGTGTCTGAGGTCGCCAGTGAAGTCGCGTCGCATGCCGGCGAGAGAACGGTAGACACACAAACACTGAATACTAAATGATGGAGGTGAATGCACTGACCAAAACAGAACACGCATTCATGACATACATCATTACTGGGTCTCACTTGTATGCATTCACGACAAGACACGAAGCAACGCACCGTTCATACACACACCCTTTCCAAGTCTTTAGCTAGACCTCAATTAAGAAACAACTGACTCTCACCCACCACCAACCCACGCCACACCCCTCCCACACTTGTCAGTCATGTGTACCCACGGCACCCACTGGTGTAATGTACTTACTGACTGTGCGGGGGCCAAAAGATAAAACCAGAAGGACTCACAAAGGTAGGTAAGACCTAGCCGGCCACCTGTCTACCAATCTATGATTGCGTGCCCCGTCCCTCCCCCGGTGTGTAGGTCTTGTCTGTCGCGTGTGTAGGCAGGCGAGCCATGTCATGCAGCCAGCCAGCCGGTGGTCAGTCAGTCAGGCCGTCTTCTTGGCCTCCCCCTCCTTGCGCATGCGTATCTCGGACAGCTGCAGCTTGGACGGGTCGTAGTCGCTGAACAGCTCGTGACGCAGCTGCATTGCATTCGCCACCCATAGATACATACAGCACACACATGATGGACGGATGCATGGACGGATGGATGGATGGATGTCTCTGTGTGGTGCTGTGTCGTTCCGGCTGGGCAGCTGGTCTTCCACGCACCTCTTCCTTTTCGTTTTTGAGCTCGAAGTACCGCAATGCGAGCAACATCTTGAAGCCGAAGGCCAGGGCGCTGCAGAGGAGAGCGAGGAGCAGCGGCGCCGCACCCAGGTGCAGCATCAGGCCACGGGAGAACACCTCCTCGCTGTCCTGCCAGTCAGTTCGTCAGCCCAACAAACGACACGCACAGACACAGAGAGAGGGAGTATTGGATCTGACCAGACTCTGTTTATCGTCTGCCTGCAGTGCAGGCGCGGACCTTTTTGCTGATGATAAACCAGTCGATGATCCAGAAGAGCACAAACACCGATGGCATGTCCTCGAGGAGCGCCGTCCACACCATGGCCTTGGCCTCCAGCAGCTGCCTCTCACATGTCTCCAGCTTCTCCTGCATTCGTGTGCAGAGACATGCATGCTTCCATCCATCCGTCCACACAGCGGACCTCACCTACCTCTAGAGTGTCGATGTCCTTTGTGTCGACCTTCCTCGCTTCAGCCTCAGGAACCTGAGGCTGTTCCTCGTCGTGCCCCCAGCTCTGGGACCCCAAAGCCAGCCGGGACCCCAGCCGCAGCGTCCGCCAGAAAAAAGACCTGCTCCCGTGTGTCCGCTGTCGCTTGATCTCCTTCAGCAACCGCAGACGAGCCAGCACACTCTTGCACACACCAAATGACACGCCCACCTGACATTCGTCAAGACCCAGACAGGACAGACCCACCGATGAACAAACGAATGGCCGGCGGGTCGGCCTTGTGTTGTTTGTGTGCTCACAAAGATGATGCCGTAGAGTGTGGCGGCGAGGGTATAGTCCCACCGGCCGCCCTCGTCGATGGCCGAGTCCAGCAGCAAAGCGAACGACACTACCGCCAAGACAAAGCGTACCGCATCCAAGGCCAGAAAGGAATACCTGTGACCAAGTCACTTGACTTAGTATACAAACGTGCGGTGCCCCGGGCCGCGTGTATTTACTGTCTGGTGGCTTCATTCTTCAGTCGCTGGATGAGCAGGGCGGAAGGAGACAGCACGCTCTCCACGCCCTGTTCGAGCACCTCGACCACCATCTGGTGCTTCTCTAACAGTTCGCCCTTCTGCTGCAGGGCGGCCAGGTGTGCGTGCGCCAGCCGCCGCAGCTCCAGCTGGTCGCGCACCATTATGGCGAAATACTCCATCAGCGTCTGCGGGAGAGAGAGAGAATGCAGCCATTGACAGATCCACGGATCCACGGGCCTGTCTAGGTGTCCCCGCGGTTGCCTTGATGTCTTCATTCTGCTCCAGGTCAGGCCTTGGCTTGATGTCGTACGCACAAAACGCACCTGAGTGGGCGGAGCGCGGGGGTCTGTCTGTCTCTCTCTCTGTCTGTCTGTCCACGCCCTAACCGATGTTGTGGTGCTCCGAGGTGGTGATGGGTGCCCCCAGATAGACCTTCATGTGTGGCTGGTGGTCGCCCGAGACATATGCCCTGTGCTTGAAGCGCTCGTCGGACGGCAAGTCGTACAGCAGCAGCGGCTCGCGATAGTTGATGGTGTGAGTGCTGACCAGCCATTGGCAACCAATGGATGAAAATCAGGCAGAGACACCGACACACGCATGTGTAAGTGGCCATGGCGGCAATTTGGGACGCACCAGACAGATCTGCAAAAGTGGACAGATGGGTCGATGGAACAATCTCGCACAGAGATGGGTCAAGTGAGAAGGGCCTTACTCGCCTCTTGGAATGATTCTTTCCTCGCCTCCTGGGATGTTTCCTGAGCTCAGGCATGGCAACCATTCCATCGATCAAATAAACACATGCAGTAGTTAGTGTATTGGTTTGCAGAGAAGTAGAGACCGCTTCCTCCCCTTCCCCGGCCCCTGCTTCCCGCCTGCCTCCCTACCTACCTGTGAAGAAGACCTGTGTGTCCTTCATGATGATGTTGATGCTCGCGTTGGGGACCTTGAGCAATTTGCACGCGATCTCACATATCTTCACAAAACATTCCTGCCAGCCGTGATGCCGTCCATCCATCCATCCATCCATCCATCCATCCAAACAAACAGACAGGGTAGTGTATCGCTCGCTCTTGTGTACAGTACCTCTGGTGGTGAGTCGAGTATGCCATACGTCATGGTGCAGGCCAGCCGGTCCTGCTCGTTGTCCGGCTCGTACTTGTCCGTGGGGTAACCATACTTCAACAGCTGCTCCTGCTCCTCCTTAGTCAGCTCCATCAACGACTTGGGCGAGTCGGCGTCCCACTTCTGCCGCTCATAGAAGAGCGCAGGCGCCGACGACCGCCGATACTGCCCGCCCGTGGTGTGTACCGTGTCGACGGTCATCTGGGTGTGGTTGTTGGTGTGGCTGGACGAGGGAAGAGGGAGGACGGGGCCCTCATCGGACGCACGCCGCGGATGCTCCTCCTGACCTTCTTCATCTTCCCCCTGTGATGCAGGGACGCTGCCAGGGAGGGGGGGAAGGAAGACTGATGGGAGCATGACGATCACAGGCAGGTCAAACTGAGATCCATCTCTCGTTCCAGCGAATTTCGCTGCGTTCTGCAGAGGGGCTGAAGGGAGACTGCGGCGATCGTCAGTTTTAAGCTCGCTGGACTGCTCAATTTCCCTTCCCTCCCCTCTTTCTCTCCGCAGATCCCCTGTCGCTAACAGGAGGGGATCCATCGTCGCCATGCCATCTCTCGCCCTCTGCCTCTGTGGCGCCATCCTCGCACTCACGGCGTCACCACTGCCCAGTGAGGCGCACCAGCAACAGCCATACACACAGGGTGAGGCAACCACGGGGGTCGCACTACATACATGCAATCAACACATGCATCTATCTAGCGAGATGCTCGTGTGTGTGTGTGTGCATGTGCCTCGTGTGGGCGGTGCGTGTCTGCAGATGGAGATCACCTCCGGCGGCTGCAGAATGACCAGCCCGTTATGGGGGAGCAGCCCGAGCAGCCGCAGCAGAAGCAGCTCAACTTCACCAAGTTCCTCCACGCCGCACACCACTTCCTCAATGAGACCAAGAAGGGTATGTGCAGGCCAGGCAGACACAGACACCTCCAGACAGGCGGCGTCGGTGCGCTGCGACGTGAGGTGCATGTGGTGCGCCGCCGACGAGACAGAGGGAGGGAGGGACACGCAGGCAGGGAGGGGGGGAGAGGCGCATCCGTGTGTGTGTAAGTTAAGTGTGTCTCGAGGCGCCATCCATGCCATGCGACTGTGCATGATTGTTGCTTGTGTGTGCGTGTGTGTGGCTGTCCGTCTGGCAGATGTGGATTGGGATCAGTTTGTGTCCGACTGGAAGGACTTCGTCAACAACGCATACAAATGTACGCCAAGCATCGCATCGCATGCCCTCACACACACACACACACACGTATCTAATCTCTACCAGTCAGTGGGATGGAGTGCGGTGGGTCGGACCACTCACTGACCATCTCTCTCTCTTATGTGGCGTGCAGCCGTGCCCCACCTGCTGTTCGCCCTCCGCGCAGAGGACCCCAAGGTGTGCATGCACACACCATGTTCTTCACTCTCTGTATGTCTGTTGTGTTGTCCGGCCACCGACCTTCCCTCCTTGCCATGTGTGCTGTGCAGAGCAAGTGTGTGCCGGTGATGCGTGTGACTGGTCCCAAGATGCACGTGGCCGTCGACAAGCACGTCAAGGTCTCTGGCGCCAAGTGCGTCGAGGCCTGCCTCCCGCCCACACTCGCAAGCCTCTCTATGCTACCACAGGTAAGGTACCCACACGAACTCCGCTCCCAGACACACACAGACACACGGCGAGGTGCATTCCATTCCATCTCTCCATCCATCCATCCCCTGTGTGTATGTGTATATGTGTGTGTCAGGGCACGTGCCGTGATGCGGGCTTCACGAGGCTGATCTCTGAGGACTTCATCAAAGAATCGTGAGCCACCACCGACCGACACAAGCACACATATGTGTGTTCACAAGAACACCTCTCTCTCTGTTGTGTGCGTTGGTCTGGTGGTGCGTTGCGTCAGTTTCGCCAACGCCACCTCTCGCGTGTACTACGTGCAGGTCTACGACCAGGAGGGCTCAACACAGACACTCGTCGAACAAACCCAACAGGTGCATTGCAACACATCACATCACACCCACCCACCCACCCACCCACACAGGGAGAGAGATGCACACCACACGGGGGCCAGGCCATGTGTGTGTGGTTGCGTGACTGACAGCCGCAGGACGTGCCTGATCTGAAGCGCTTCACCGACGCAGCCAAAAAGTTCCTCGGCAACGCCAAGAACGGTAGGCGCACACACACACACAGAGCTCGGTAGGTATCTCTCTCTACACACATGCGCCATCGACGCTCGCTGCTTTGTGGCTGCCTGCGCTGCGTCAGATACCAATTTCGACAAGTTCAAGCAGGACTGGGCACACTTTGTCCACGAGGCCAAAGAATGTACACATGTCTGCACACACACGAACCGAACCGAACCACCCTGTCGCATAGCATATATATGCGTCGCGACATCGCCCTCTCTTCGTCTGTGTGTGTGCTGTGGGATTGTGTGTTTGTTGGATGTGCAGCGCTGCCCGAGCACGAGCACGACAAAGACGACGACACGAACGGCCCCGGCGCCACCACGCTGGTCACCGAGGACGCAGACGTGGCAGAGGAGCCCGACGATGAGTGCATTGTGGTGCACAGAATCGTTGGTAGGTGCAGGTGCATGCGGCTGCTGCCATCCATCCATCCATCCAACATCTGTGCGCCGTGTGTGTCAGGCAAGGAGTGCGGCGATGCGTGTCTGCCCAAGAAGCTCGTCATGCTCTCACTGGGGGTCTTCCATGAGGGTGAGGTCTGGTCTGCACACACATACCGACACCAGCCACCATGGGAGCCACCCACCTGGTTGTGTGTGTGCGCCAGGTCCGTGCTCGGCCGTGGGCTTCACGGAGCCATCGACAGACACCACAGTCAAGTGCGCTTCACACAACACACCACACCCTGATGCACACAAATCGACCAGGTGTGGACTCTGTCTCTCTCTCTGTCTGTGTGTGTCTGTGTGTGTGTGCAGGTTGGGAGGTCGTGACTTCAAGCTGGCAACCTACACCAGACCCGAGGGCGACACTTCAGAGGTCCAAGACACCAAGGCGATGTACCCATCTGGTGGGTGGACCGGAGTGCACACCGCTTCACCAGCCGCCCTCATCTGTGTGTGTGTGTGTGTGTTGTCTTCTTGGTGTGTCAGGCAAGGAGATCTTCGACTGGGACAAGTTCGGCAACGCGGCCAACGAGTTCTCCAACAAAACATGTATATATGTGTGCTTCCATGCAGACAGCTACGTACACTCAGTCCATTCTCTGTCTGTCTGTCTGTCTGTGTGGGGATGGGTGATGGATGCGATGCGTGTGTCATGACACACATGCAGATGCCAAATGGAACGAGTTCGTCAACGACTGGAAGCAGTTCCTCGGACAAGCCAAGAAATGTACACACACACACACGCCCTCTCGTCTGTGCCCATCCATCCATACTTGTGTGCCGAATTGTGTCCTGATCACACACACTACGTCAGCCGTAGGGCCCTCTCTGCGATCGACGTCATCTGCGGCCCCCCAGCCCACCGCAGCCCTCGACAGCATGATGATACTCGTCGGCATGGACGACCCACTCGACGAGGTCACAGCCACACACACACACACACCCACACACCCACACACACACAGAGGGAGGGCATGTATGTGCATTGCGGCGTACTTGTGTGTCGTTCGTGTGTCAGGTGGTGCCTGCCTACCGCATCGTGGCCAAGAACTGTCTGCAGCTCAATGTGACCCTGCGCGTGCTGGCCCTCAGCCTCGGCACACTCAAGAGCGGCACTTGCGAGGAGGAAGGGTCAGCACACACCCACACACCCACTTGTGCCGACTCAGCAATGTCTCTGTGTGTGTGTGTGTGTGTGTGGTGGACAGGTACACTGAGTTCAAGACCTCCCGCATGGTGGATCTGGGCAACCTAGGCAGATACAAGGTCGACGTCTACGAGAAACCCTCACCAGAGGAAATCTCGTCACAGATACTCATCGGTGGGTCGGTCGGTTGGTCGGCACCCTCCAACCACTCACTCCCCCACACGACACACATGCCCCTCTGTCTGTCTGTCTGTCTGTCTGTCGTGCAGGCACCGAGGTGTCATGGGAGCAGTTTGTGTCCCTTGCTCAGCGGTATCAGAACGACATGATGGACGCCGCCACCAACGGCGACAAAGACCGCTTCTTCGACGCCTACAAACACTACCTCAACGACGCTTCTGACGGTCAGTCTGGGTGCCCCACGCCACCCTCTCTCCCTCCCTCCCTCACTTCGTGTGTGTGTGTGTGTGTGTGGTGTCTCTGCCTGCAGTGATGCCCGTGAACCTGATCGAGGCCGTCGAGAAGCAAGGCTGCGGCTGCGGCCATGGGGATGGGAAGGAGCACCACTGCACGGGCGATAAGAGCGGCAAACAGTGCACCTGCCACCCCAAACACACTACCATCCGAAACCTCGGATGGTAATAATGTCTGACAGGCACACACCACACCAGATAGACACATCCATCCATCCATCCATGTGTGTGTGTCTGCAGTGTCGATGTGTGCGCGACCGGGGCCGTTGCTGCACTAACCGTCGAGCCATGGGCTGACAAGGCCTGTGACGAAATGGTGAGTGAGTGAGCCGACAGACAAGACGCCAACCCCCCCCC